AGGCGAGATATCCGTCTATCAACCAAAGGACGTGCTTGCGGTGCAGCAGTTCATTCCGTCCTACTTTATGGCAGTGAAACATGGCCGGTGAGAGTAGAGGATATTCGTAGGTTACTAGTATTTGATCATAGGTGTCTTCGAAACATTGCTCGTATATCCTGCGACCACGGAGTAAGTAACGCAGTTGTTAGGACACGGGTACTAGGTAGGGATGGCAAATCAATTGATGAAGTAGTGAAACTTCATCAGTTGAGGTGGCTGGAACATGTGTTACGTATGCCCAACGACCGACCGCCTCGAAGTGCTATGTTCAGTGGTATAGGAGTAGGTTAGAAGAAAGCTAGGGGTGGCCAGACCACAACATGGTACAAATCCATGAAGTCACTGACAAGTGGACTTAGCCATGTTGGTAGGTGTAGATTACCTGATTGGGGACCGTGAGATGATAGCAACCAATGGTTAGAGACCTTGAATGATATGGCTCAAAATCGTCTGCAATGATGCTGGTGCATCCACTCTTTGTGTTCTCCCAAATTCTAATCTTCTGAATTCTTCGTGTTCCTTTTTTCTTCAGTGGATTATACTCTTTGAATAACATCTTCAAACCCTAATTTTTCTGATTACAGCTTATAATCTTACTACATCTAGCACTACGGGATTTGAATCGACCACTGCATCTCTGTGCTAATGTGGTGTGGCAACTCGAACTGATGTACGTACGTACGAAGTTCTACGTTGTTACTGACTGACTGACCGATGGGACACCTCAACAGTGCGCATCCACGATCCCCTCGCAAGATTAGAACCCAGGACCTATCAGTCTCACGCGCGAGCGCTTAACCATTAGACCACTGAGCCGGCATCTAACGGTGTTAATGTTTAACTTCAACCAATCCACGAAATTGCGTCACCGTACACCATTATCTTCAGTGAGCTGATATCTCACAACAGACCTGGTTGAACTCCACTGGTTTTTATTTATTTCGAGGATTCATTCATCTTGATTTATATTGTCTATGAGTAATATATTTTACTATCACTGATACAGTTGCTATTTCTAATATTTTAAAATTTTTCTTGAGAATTTCAACTTGTTGTGATCATATGATGTGGTGACTTGAACCAATGTATACATGTGCTAGGTTTTGTGTTGCTCATAATTTACTAAGTAGTAATGTTATGTTCATGATAAAACTACATCTGAGAATAATGCAGTAAGAGTGTTTCCAATAATATGTAAAAAAAGATTAATATATACGCAGTGGGATGCAGATGTATCCAGATAACGAATAATGAAGTGAATGAAATGTCTTAAATCCTATTACTAATTGCTATAATAATAATAATAATAATAATAATAATAATAATAATAATAATAATAATAATAATAATAATAATAATAATAATAATAATAATAATATAGAGAACCTTCTTATCATTATTGGAGTTTATTATTTAGTTCTATCTAATAATAATGGGAGTATAAAGTTACTGGATTACCTTTTTAAATGTAATTCCAGCATAAACACAATGGACATTTGATATTTCGTAATCAGGTTTACGCCAACATGTACTTACAAACCAATCGTAAAAACTTCATTTGAATTCGATTTCAGCTGAATTCTTATAAGAGTATTTAAGCAAAACATGAAACAATTCGGAATTTGATCGTCCGTTTTGAGATTGTAAATAATATGGACTAACGAGTAGTATTAAAATAACACCTCGACTGCAAGTGCACACTTGACTTGGTAGTCAGGATTACATATCGTAACAAATCCAGTGATTTATATTGGCTGAAACAGACTAACAGAACTCGAGACCATCTCGAATAGATAGGATAAACTAACTGGTCAGTACTCTTTAATTATCATCAGTAGTGACTGATGTCGAAATCTTTGCAAAAACTACGTAACTTACAATAAAAAAGTTAATGCATAATTAAGTATGAGCGTACAAAAGATATTATCGATTTAAACATTTTATATATAGAAACTAGGATTAATTCATCATTCTAATACCGTAATTTGTTATTTGACTAGCTAGGTTATACTTGCTTCGTTACTCTCATTTATCATATATACATACGTAATCAAGACTAATGAAAATACAAGTGATCATTTTTCACCTAATAAATATATTTTTTACTTAAAAACAGTCAGTAGTCGGCAGCAGAAACATAATTAAACATCTTTGTTCGTTCAGCAGAGTAATTATTTTCCACCAGTAAGGTAGTTAGTTAGTTGGCAGAAGATAAGGGTTATATGATGATAATGTTAAGAGTTAAAAGATAATGAATTATAACATTTTCATGAAAAATAAATGATGACGCAGAACTATATGTAGATAAAGTATAACACAGATAAGTACTATATGTAAGTAATGCGTTTAACTAGAAACGACTAATTTGTTATAAGCGTATAAATAAAGTAGAAACAAGAAATCATACGTCACCGAATTCGATTAATAGATAAGCAGTAGTCGATCAACGACTTGGTGGGGCAATAAACAGTTGATTTTCGTATAATGGATTGTAAATCCAGATAAATTGATGATATACATGAACATTTTAGAAGTGGAAGTTGCTTTTTGACATTATAAAGACAATGATGACTTGCGCAATCAAAAATATGATTTCTCATTCTAGGAGTAAAGTGGACCTATTTGAACATAAAAACTTTCTTTGTGTTACAAATACCCACAAAAATAATTTCTAATTTTAATTTGATATTTTGAAGACTAATTTAAATATATGGAAATACACCTATTAGTAGTCTATAATGAAGGTATCTCTTAATTTGAATGTCAGTTTAGATTTCATTAATTGGGCTTTCATTAGACACTATGTGATGTCAAAAGAGTTGGTATAATGATATTTCATGTATAACACATTTTTCATTTGAATTATTTATATTTTATGAAAGTATTAGACGAAAGTGAGGCAGTGACTAGGGAATTTACGTGTTCAACATCAAGCCACTAAATCGCAGGTTTGGATCCTACGTTGGGTTCAGCAACTGGATAGTGTTCACTAGCTCATAGACATGAATTTGCAACTCGTAAACAAGTTGGCAGATTAGACGATAATTGGGTTTGTTCACAAAAAAAGCATTACTATTTATCAATTTTAGTGTTCATTCATTAACATCCTTGGTAATTGCGACTTTGTATCATGAAATGAATGGTTCTTATACAATAAGAAAAATAATAAATTTGATATAGGTGAAAAGACGACCCTACATAACAGGTAGTGGTAATAACGTGAAAGTATTCAACTCAAACGAATAATTTTCAGTGCAACTCAATAATCACATCTGATTACTAAACTTTAAGTTATACTTCTATATATGTCAAAGTTCATGATGTTAGCTAGTTGTTCAAACTGCATCAAAGTTAGTCGTTCGAATGTTAATAATCGTACAGTTTAACTACTGAGTCAATAATATACCTAAAAGTCTTTGACACATTCCTTATGGTTCTACTCAGTCTGCCTAATAAATACGCGAACTGAGGTCATAGCAATTTAATTTTATGAAATTACCAATTAATTGAATCTTTAAAATATTTCGAATTTTCGACAATAAAATTACTTATCTTTATTTCAAGTGTTCAAAGCACACTCTGAATGGAATAAACGGTCATTTAATTCAGTTGTTTCGTCATTTAAGGTCTTTCTCAACTCAGAATATTCTGCCAGAATCGCGTATAAAGACAGTTTCAACAGCAGTCATCTGGTCAGTAATTCAAAGATCGAGAAGTACAAGAAGTAGTACTGAAGTGAACGAGAACACCATTGGGGACAACCGAAAGAAATGGGATGCGAAAATTACAGAATCACTTAGTAAAAGTTGAGGGGAAATTTCTGGTTGATGCATTATCCATAATTATCAAATCAGATAGTTTGAAAAATAAAAACAACCCCAGCGTAATGCACAAAAAAAGCATGGAGTACAACTATATCTTTTATTTTCTCATATTTATTCAGTGATCCTAGGTTTTTAATAGTAGTTTAACATTGATCGGTTCATGATCTCGATAACATGATTAAATTTAGTTTCTACATAACCCATATTGTTGTATGGTGTATATCTTTTTGTATATATGAGGGGTTAGATAAACTTGACAAATTAACAAGGTCATTTTCTTTTCTTTCTCTACTCTTCGCGTGTACATATTTACATTACCATAAAAATAAACAAATAAGAACTAAGGGAAAGAAAGCGAGAGAGAGAGTGTGTGTGTGAGTGAGATAGAATGAGCAGGAAAAGTCCTTTTAATTGAACAATCAATAATTGGAAACTAAAAAAAAGTATCCTGAAACCCTGGTATTAATTTTTATCAATGCCATTTCGTATTATTATTCTAAAAATAGACTTGTTTATACAAACATGAATAAGATGAATGAGGTCAATTTTAATAGCGTTGTGGTGTGTGCTACTTATATTGACATAAATAGTATATGACGTTAGTCAGGAACAGAATGTCTGGCAGCAAAGGGACAAGAGGATCGAGCAGTAAAGAATCGAACAGAATGCAAGAACAATGAAGTCTGAGTTATTATGAGACAATTGATGGACATTTTGCAAATTGCGTATTTACTATTCGATTGCTAGATTTTATTAACAAGTTCTGTAATTTTGTGTTAAATACATTCGATTGTCTCCACCCGTGTTTTGTTCACTACAACATCTATCATTGATTTTATTCTTAAGAATATTATTATTATTATAAATAAGACAGATCCAAATTGAAGTTGAATAGAGTGTAGTGCAAATCTGCAACCAACTAGTTGAGATTGTAATGATAATAATTACAACAATTATTGCTACATAATCATTTGATCATATGATCCATTTGAATAAATAGTCAAATTTATATTTTCAGTTTTTATTTTCATTAAGAAAGTTCAATTTTTATATCATTCATTTACCAAACGTATAAGTTTATATAATTGATATTGAACTTAGATTTTTATGTAACACATAAATGGGATGCGTTTAACCATTGGACCGTTATCACCATCACCTAAATGTAATTACTAGTCAATAAAGTTTTGTTGTTGTTTTTTTATCACTACTGAATGAAACTGACTATCTCTTGTGAAATAAGTATTTGTTTCATAGTAAGATGTTTTTGTTTTTCGTATAGATGAGTGGGATTTTCTACCCGTCTGACTGTGATTTTGTATATGTTACCATCTTGAAACATTGAATTGGGTGAGTTAAGTATATATTCCGCGAATATCATACGGGCTTTTCAAACCAGGCATTATTTACTGAGATTGGGATTAAGTGTAAAAAGGTAGTTAGTTAATGATATGGTACCATGATATGAAAGGCAATTGTATAAAATTTGCATGCGTCAGTGAATCGCAACTAAAGACTTCGTTCCAAATCATAATCATAAGCAAGGCTTATTTGTAATATTGATGAAACTCCTTTCAGGACTAGAAACCCATATCACCAAGCTTCGGAGTTTGAAACGTTATCACGAGACGTGACTGACTTTCTGTAGGACTGAGATATTAACATTTTAATTAAACACTGAATAGTGATCAATAACATGCTTATCTAGTTTTTAATGAGCTGAACGAATTTTACTGATTAAGACCATCACCATTTTTCACTTGAGATTTTAAACATTGCTTAATTCGATGGCTTGAGACGTTATCGTATATATTTCAGGATTGAGGCCAGCGGAGATCCAGATGTAATTTTTTACCTAACTCTTCATAAAATTGAAAGAAACTCCCTTAATTAAAGGAATGAATTTGTGGTTGTATTGTTATCTGAATTGTATTCCCTATTGTACATTGATATTGTTCATTTATACCTTTTTTTCTTTCCAATCCACTTGTGCGGATCATGGTTTGGGTACCCTGCACAATTTTTTGAAACCTACAGATGATGTTATCGCCAAAATAAATATTATTATAAAGAATAAAAGAAACTTAGTAACTTGGTCTGAAACAGACAAACTTTGTATGGGATTGAGAAAAAAATACTCTTGATGTTCAATTGATGAACACAGAAAACACAAGGTGTTAAGTAAAGTAAACCTTAATGATGAAAAAATGAAGTACAGTTATTCATATGTCACAGAAATATAAATGGCGACATTAAATGTGAATACACATATACATAGATTCGATTCACAGCACAAACCAAACTGTCAATCTTTTCTCTATATCTCAACATAACAGTTACTTTAATGAATAAATAACCATTTTGGGTCGGATTTTAACTATTGATTAATTTCATACGTTAAATAAAATTGATTCAGTGAAGAGCTCACTTCTCGACGAATTGATTTTCAAAGCTGTATAACAGTAAATATATATACTTCTTTTTTTCAGGGTGGTATTTGCTTATATATTGCCATTATTATTTAGAACGGCGATTGATCAGTCTTATTGGCATATGTGCATACTGTGCCTATTGCCTCGATATTGTCTTAATTCACAAGCATTCTAAGCAAACTATTTATTTATTTGAACAGATAAATACTGGTACAAGGGGGGCACCAGATACATATACGCTACACAAATCTCATTTGATTTGTGTGAGGGCTGTGATACTGCCCGGGTGCCCAGCAAACTAATAATCGTTTAATTGTTAATGGTTTAAATATTCATCAAAAGATAGATAAGGAAATTATCATTGGGAAAGGATGGTTCAGTATAATAAGATAAAATGTTGAAATTAAGATTAAATGTAATCAGGACGATTATAGAAACGATTATTAGTTTACCTGTTTAGAAAAATAATTTTAATACCTTTACTAATTCTACCTCACTGTCATTATGTCTAACAGAGGTTTATTATCATCCTGAAAAAAGAAGTATATATATTTGTGATTGTACATCCTTGAAAACGAATTCACCGAAAAGCAGAACTCTTCACTAAATCAATCTTTCTTGTTTAATGACTTAATGGGTGTATCTCGTTTACTAATTTCATACAAACACTTAATATATGGATCCACTTGGATTAATTCAATCACTTATTATAATGATAAATAAATTTTGCTATTAAAGTTGGGATATTAGAAAAATATGATCATTATGATTAACAAAATATACGTATTACGTATGTCCAATCACTGGCTACCTCAATGACCGTTGTTAGCTGGAGGAAATTCATGGGCAGGCAAACTAAAACTTGACATTAATCCATCAAGTTATTGACTATTGCGGAAAAGCCGTGTAGATGAATGTAGAATCTAGTAACTAACGGTTGGAGACGTTAGTTGATATGGCTAAGAATTGGTTAAATTTGAACAGATGAACTCACTTATTTTCTTTTCTTAAATCTCGAGTTTTAAAAGATCTTTTCCTAGCCCACGAATTAATTCTTTCTTCTTAAATTATATTGTCTATGCATAATGTATTCAACTATCACCGATACAGTTGCTGTTTTTACTACTTTAGGATTTATCTTAATAATTTCAGATTCCTGTGATGATATGGATATTGATGCCAGATTCTACGTCCCTTGTGACTCATTGATTGGCTAATTTAATGTTTATCCATGGATTATAACTGGAAACAATTGTGAAGAATGTCCCGTTAAACTTAAATTTTGTGTTAATTAGTTAGCGCTTATCATTAGCCTCATTCTTTATGACAGTCAGAGATATTATCAGTGAGCGACTGACCTCCTTCAGGTCGATTTTTATATGTGCTGATCACTGAGTACTAACCAGCATCATGTTTATCTAAACCCTTAGTATTGATTAGATTCTATCAATCAAGTTGCAGGGTAGCTACTACTGGATAAACATAACATTAGTCGCTATTCAGTTATTTCGAGTGTGACTGATAAGACGTTTCAGACAGGGATTATTAAATTAGAAGGAATATGGTTAAAATTTAAAACTTCACTAGTGAAGTAAGGCTAGGAGAAAACATAAAGGTGGTGTCTATTATTCATAAATCAGAATAAACATGAATTCAGTGCATTTGACACTTATTATGAGGTAGTTTAGACACATTTTCCACAACCTCCGATTGGATGTTTATAGAACATGTACATATATGGCTTCAAAACCAGTTAGTTTCAACTGTTTCGATAAACATAGGAAGTCGAAAACCATGTTTATCAATAGCAAAACATATAGTTGAAATGGAGTATAGGATAAACATCAACATCGACTGACAAGAACAAATTCTTAGGTTTGTGGAAGCCTTGGCTATTGAAAAATTCAAACTTCCTTTTTGTGTACAGAAATAATTTGTTGTAACCTTGACATCTAGCCTAGGCCATTTTACAGCCTAGGATAGTGTGACGAATTTCTGTTCTTTTAATATGAACTTTTTCATTCCTTTTGTTTAAAATGACCCCTTTGTTTATTTGAATTTTATTAACTTTCATGTAAAAAGGAATTAACAAATATTTATAAAAACAGTTTGTTCGAAATGTACAACGCAAATATATCAAACTTTTCAGATCAACTCCGTCTTTTGATTGCTCTATCAAAATTTATAAAAGGGACTAATAGGTCTTCCTAGCACTAGACATGTTCGTGATACACGAAGTTACTCACTGTTGAAGTGGAGATTTCATGGATGAAGTTGATATATTAGGAATTAATGATTAAAAAACTGTAAGCCAAATAGCTCAGTGGCGCAGATATACCTGTGTTCTTCTAAAACGTGGACAAGTCATTTTTCTATTGGTGTAAAAACCGTCGTCACTGTTATAACCTGGTTATAGCTAAGAAAATCGAAAGATGGATACACAAGCAAACTCGACGAAAAGATATATTCTAAAACTCTCAAATTAATCTGTACTGGTCTACCATCAACTTTCGGCTCGACACCTAAACAAGTGAGAAAACATTAGGAAGTCAAAGGGTCATCTCGTGATCCATGAGTGAGAAAGTCAGTATTTATACATTTTTAGAGTATCCTTGGGAATCACTCATCTAAGATATGTTTTGTAGAGCCTGGCTTGACGGTAGGCGCGTGATTCACAATGGCAACCGTTAAAAATTCCTTTGTCGAATGGCTTGGGTCGAACTTTCGGGAAATAATATATTTGCTTTCCTCCCCTTTTACTTCATTTAAATCCTACTTGATATTTATTTAACTTTCCTTTGTTAAGCACTCCAACATGAGCCAATGCACTGCAGAACATGGCTTCGCATAATTAACCGTCCATCCGTACCTTCCGAAATCACTACTTCATCCAGATCATCATCTTAAGTGAGTAGTAGTAGCAGTAGCAATTGTTTACATTAACAATATACATACGTAAAATGATAATTAAAATAGCAGTTCAAACAAACTAAGACTAACCTTTGATACTGGAACACTCATAATAAGGATTATTGCCATGAGAAATTTTTCTTTCACCAAATCATTAATTACTTGTTTACACCCCTAAAAAACATACGCAATTAAATAATTACTGGTAATATTTACATAAATTTCTTTATAGGATGTTCTGGAGATTGTTGAATTTGAAGTTTCACATTTTAGACCAACTATGGTCAGACAATTACTGAAAAACAGGAAGCACTGAACTCATTAACAATACATATCTACGTACACCTCCGCTAACAGGGTCGATTTCAAGATCTTTAGGACACTTTTGGACTATTAAGTTGGCATCCAGTGACATACTACTAGAAAGGAAAACCTGTCCAGTGCATTCGGGTTTTCAGTGACTGTCTAACTGAAGTCAGTCCATGATGTTAAGCTATAAGTTATGTAAACATTCTAAAACAATCGTTACACATACAAATGATAAGTAAGAATAACGAGTTGGTAAAACACAAATTTACTGGGAATATTTCAACCTTAACAAACATTCCCAACAGATCGTGTAATTTCATATCTTTAGTCATAGATTTTGATCATCGTACAGATTGTAATCTGAAAGGATTGATTAAACAGTACAACACTGATCAACCAATTATATTTAATATAGTATTTCTTGAAATTTTTCGAATTTAAAACACCGTAACAAATAATTTGTATCTACTTTATCAATAACTAGGTAAAACCTTTCAATATTTGATTATAAAAACACTTAACATAGATAAGCATACCAAAAATAAACTTGTGGTGTATGCTACTTATGTCTATCGAAACAAGTAGTATGTAACACCAACCGGGAGTGGAAAACCCGGTAGCAGAAGGCTAAGAAGATTGAGTTAAAAAGAACAAAAGGTAAAATAGAAAGAAATTGTTGAATAGAAGGATCATGGAGAATGTGAAGGACAAATGATGGAAATTCCTAAATGAAGTATTTAGTGTATGAGCCTCATATTTTACCAAGGGATTCTGTAATCTTGTATTTAAAAACAACCGGTTGTTCCCGCTTAAGTCTTCGTTTATTACAAACTGATTGTTAGAAAGTAACCAGTTTTTTATAAAAAAAGATAATGAAACTAAAGTACATATTATATTTTAACATGATTCACAAACTTAACATAAAGTTTCTTGAGCTTTGAAATCAAAGAGCTAACTGTCCATTTGACTACAATGTGTCCTCTCATCTTAACGTTTTTAGTATACTACAATAAATTATTTATTTATACTACCTGAGTTATGAATGCCTAATGACTGGGCTAAGTTCGAATGTTAATTTTCGAGTCACTTAAAGTGGTAAAGAACAGTCCTGCCGAAAAATTCTATGTACAGTCTTGTAGACTTCTGACCTAATCAATCTATTGATGTCATGCCATATGGTCTTAAAGTAGTCCTGGAGGCTTAGTGGTTATAGTATTCGAATTTCAACCATTGGATTACAGATTTGTACCACGCTTAACCCTTCACACAGTGTGATTTGAAGTCAAGTAAATGAATTTATACTTTGTGAGTTACAACAAAGGTAGCATTGGGAATAACTGTTGAACAGTCCATTTCTTATTCGGTACACAATCCAATATCTAACAAACTCTGAAGAAAAGATAAATTTTGAAAAACAGTGAATAATCCATCCTAAAAGTGAGTTTCATGTCAGATATATGTACAAGAGGAAATCACTTAGTCAAAATGAGACCCAAGAGATGAAATAGCTATAAATACCCACATATTTGGCATGGAAAAAAATTCTGTAAGACATAAAGAAATAAGAGAACTCTGGAAAAATGCACATAATTGACCTATGAAAAAGTAAGACAGGTTACTTTTAATCTCTTGTCTGATAAAAAACGGTGAAGGAAGAAGAAACCGGAGGACAAAACATAAATTTCTACCTTCTACCACCACCATCATCACCATAATCAGTTTACAAATTATATTGCCCCAAAATGTCAAAAAAGGTAGAGAAACGCACAAGGTCATTTATTGAATAATTCACTATATATGAATCCTTTGCGTTAAGTAAAAAAAAGTGTAAGGCAAGTTATAAACTGATAAATGGCTTATACGTATACATCGATATATAGTTTCGGACAGATATATAACAAATGTGTGCATACTAGTTTATCAACCATGGAGCAAGGTATATAAGTTATTGATTAATATATATTCTTGGTTGTGTTTGAAGCATTTGTTAATGTGGTTAACACGTATAATAGCTGAGACAGAACCTGTAACCCTCATTCAGTAACAGATAACATAGCATCTAACATGAATATGAGTCACGTCAAGACCCCATAGCTCATCACATCAGTATAGAGAGTAATGGAATAATAGAGATGGAAAATAGGGGTAGACAAGTAATACTAACTGAAGTAGAAAGCTAAACACGATGAATGTAGCCTTGGGAAGATAAACGGAATAAAAGAATGGGGGATGGATGAAATTAAGCACAAAAGCAGGAAGAAGTAGGCTATCTGGTTGGGGCCAGAGCGATAACTATGACCAGTGGTTGGAAATATTGGGCGACACAGCTCATAACAGTGCAATAACTCAGAATGATTTACTCTTTATCCCCCAATATATGCTGATTTTCAAATTTATTATACACCTCTTATTCTGAAGATTTATTCAACCTTCTCGAATAGAATTCCCTTCGCATGTTTTACTACTATCACTAGTCCTACCACTAGTTCGGCATTCACCTTGATAGTTCCACTTAGCATGATGCACATATGCCAGGTTCTACGATGTTTATGGCTGAGTGACCGATTCCTCCACTGGTAGGTTAGTGTTTAGAAAACCAGCTTTTCAGCCAGTGGCCTTCCGGCTTAAACCCCACTGCATTTATTTCTGTCTTGGTAGCTAGGCGAGTGGTAGAATCACTAACCCTTACACAACCAGCATGGCTAAGTCAGTCACCCATGGTTCTTGATCCTTCCATCCTTGTCTGGTTAGTTCAACGCCGATGAAATCTGAAATAAAATTCTCATAATGAGATATTTAACACATTGTTGGGAAGATATCTGTTAGGGAACCTTATCGATTTGAGGGTACTGTTAATAGCCACCCTCATTAAATCATACTAAGGAAACAGGTGACTTCGAAGCATGTCACATGTTGATAGTAGTGACTCATTCACCACCAACGTACACCCGAGCACATATGTACTTCAGTCGTCATATTACGTTAACATAATTAAGAGACGAATACCAAAATACGTCAAAATAATATAGTATAAATGACGTCGAGAAAGATTGGAAATTGAGATTGTTCGAAAAAAGAAAGCAGAAAATTATGTCTGAAGAAATACCGAAACTCACAAAAAGAGTGCATCTGTACCCATGTGACTGATCGTGACCCAGATCACACAGTCCTTAACCATTGATCGCATTTATTAAGTGAGCCCTAACCACGTAATTGGTAGCTATCTACTCAGCTCAAACCAACAGTCTATGAACCCATAGACTGATTCAATATCTTCTTCAGTCCGACCCTAACTTTTTCTAGCTCACTCCTGCACAAGCCAACATCACCCGTTGATGTAAACGTTATTTTGGTATACTTAACACATATTCTAACTACTTCAACTGATGAATAACGACAACTTCATCAACACTGTGAATAAAACTTGAGTTATCACATCTGCGATTGGTGACATAATGCCGATTCACCGGTCTTCATTTCCCGATTTCCTTCAGGGTTTCGCACTACGCGTCCTGTGTTTAACTTATCTTAACTAATACGAATACCATTATTAATAATTTTCTTGTTTGTGCTTCGTTAACTTCGTTTTGTTATTGATAATTCGAGTGTGCCAACTTGAATCAATTCATATCTGTCCTACATATTGTAATGATTGAGACTAATCAAGAACTTTGAAACTATTTCGCAATCGAGTTTTGTAGTAGCATAAAGCTAATATTATCCGATACAAGCTTAGAATACCTTATCGAGGGCATTTCTGACGTTATTAGTAGGTTTAAGATGTCAACCCAAAGAATGTACTGTAGAATAACAAAGTTAGTCCTCATCAACGTAGAGCCTGAGACAGGTGTATGTCTCTCCAAGTCTATGTACCACAGTAACACAATGAGATGAATAGCAGAGTCAAAAAAATCTTAATAAAAATGGCAATGAAAAAAACTGAATATTGGTAGCATAATACGGAAAGATAGAGTGGAAGGTTATGTATGAAGGAGTGCTAGAATTCAATATCGAGAAGATAAAAAGTGCAAGCACCTGCACCATAGTAAATATTTTAAATCATATTGGCCAAAGTTACGCTGTACAGTTAAGCTTCGGTGGTGATCGGCAACCTATATTCCACGAGAGATAACAGACGTAGGTAAGGGATGCTGAAATCAAGCTTTCTTTTCCCATATACAGACATATTAGCCAGTATTGCACATTGGACGTAAGTGATGGTTAGGGTTGAGTAACATATGTCCTAACCGCTTCAACGACCCAATCAACAGACATGCTTTTTTTATCTAATCCCCTGAATGTAACCGGTTAACTAGAAGTAAATAATTCAGTTTTTTTTCGTTTTCTAACTGCCTTGGTTATTTACTTTCAATCGACTGTGTTGTAGTCGAAGAAGTAGTATTACGAACTGTCGTTAATCATAATTATTATAATAGAAACAAGTAACTACCTATTATATAGTTCTAATCAATTAGAATAGTCGGAAGCGAGGAACCGTTGACTTATCCACTGACTGTTCACACTCTTAGCAGAAAGAGATAGATAGGTTACATATATGTCTGAATTATTTGTTAGAATTGAAATAATAACATTAAGTGTTGGTATATTAAAACAGTAATTAGAAAACCAGTCATAAAAAACAATGTAAACCAAGCAGTGGTACGTAATGGTTTGAGTTGTTAGATTTCCCAAGACGAGTGAAGTGATTAGCAAGCTCAACCATTTCATTTTCTATGGTCAAACTAAGGTATTGACACAATAGAATATCGGTGAAAATCTTATTTGATGAAAACCAACCATTTAACAAAACGGATAAACAATCACAATTCATTTAGGAGAGAAATTATACTTATCACCTACTATAGTGTACGAGGCAGATTTGTCTGGACAATTTCGATGCTTCGGAATACAACATGATAATGGGACAGTTAATCCTGGATAATCATTCATTCCGTTGATACCACAACAATGAAGCTGTAGAAGCAAAAGAACAGAAAAAATGAAAAAATGTCAATGAAAACAACTGCGACTGTCTTATTTTCTAATAAAATTACGAATGAATTGAGTTTTATAATCACCTTTATAAGTGATTGATCATTTAGTAGTGAACAATGTCATATTTGTCCGGAGAATTTTTTAACGCTGATTGAATTCTATCAGGTAGTCGGCAATAAACCCTGCACTAAAGTTTCATTTCAGCTGGCACTCCTTAATAAGGCGTGCCTGTAATCTTCAGGGAACTGGCGCTTCCAATGGGATTCGAACCCGTGTGACCAGACTAACGAACAGTTATGTGACAGTATTCGTTACGGAATGTCTAAAATATCGAAAAAATTATGAACCTGACCTGGCTCAACTTTAATCTTTTATCATAAATTTAATTCCGAATTCTGCGTCTCCATCACTCATTCAAACCTTTTAGTATAATATTTAACTAGAGTGATAAGAACAAAAGTTTAAAAAGTTTTCTTTATGATCCAAGAAATACAAATATTTTGAGTGGCTTGTACAGCCTTACTAGTGTTAGCTAGTGAGCGAGTGAAGGTCACCAGTTTTGTTACACAGTTGTAACGTCAGGCAAGGAAATATTTACCCTGCCATATAAACAGTTGCATAGTATTGGTTTAGTGATTAGATTTAATGACATGTTGGTATTTGCGGATCCTGTAATGTGCATCGGTTATCATTAAGTGTACCATTTTTCTTCTACTTTGCTCAGCTATTCTCCATCCCAATGGGCAGTTGATCAGTCAGTCATTCAGTCAGTAACAACGTAGAACTTCGTACGTACGTACATCAGTTCGAGTTGCCACACCACATTAGCACAGAGATGCAGTGGTCGACTCAAATCCCATAGTGGTAGAGGTTGTAAGAGTATAAGCACTAATCGGAAAGATTAGGGTTTGAAGATGTTATTCAAAGAGTATAATCCAGTGAAGAAAAAAGGAACACGAAGAATTCAGAAGATTAGAATTTGGGAGAACACAAAGAGTGGATGCACCTGCGCCATTGCAAACGATTTTGAGCCATGTCATTCAAGATCTTTAACCACTGGTTGCTATCATCTCGCGGTCCCCAACCAGGTAGTCTACACCCACCAACATGGCTCAGTCTACTTGTCAATGACTTCATGGACTTTTGTCATGGTGGGCAGTTGGTTGGAGGTCTGTATCTTACACTTGTTGGTAGAACATGCTGACGAAGACATTCGTGGAGAAAACACAGTTGTTCTAGAGTGGAAGTCTACCTTTTGGCGAAATTGTCCCATTTTCGAACAACGAGAAGCGTACTACGCTCATACGATTTTGAGATGGTGGAGATTTGTAACTCAGGTGGATGATTCTGATACGTTTGTTTTGTGAACTGGATGGTTTGGTCGTAGAGCTTTCATCGTTTGTCTGAACGACATCATCAGCACAAACTTCAGGTAGAAGCTCCACGACCAAACTATCCAGCTCACAGAAAACTTCATCAAAAATGATTAAATTGCTCGACTTTTAACTGGTGCGTTACAAGGCCGGAACTTGCACAACCTTGTTTGCACCGCATAGTCCAGAAGTATCATCAACCCCCACACTTGCGAATATGGCCAAAGTCGACTACACGACCCGTTACTTGGTTGTTGAGTCGTACTGATAATATCACGACTCAACTGTGTTTCAAGCTCAGAACAAAATTTTCAATAACATGAAAAATGTTTGTTTCACATTTTCCAGTTTTTAGTAAATCTTGATTTTACAGTTGTTTCAAAACACAATTTTCTGATGAATTGATATGCCCTAAATTAATCCTATGAGATTGCTGACAAAAAATAGGTTGACGAAAGATAATATTCTAGACAAAATTTCAGTGGCCATATCTACTGAAAAAACATCAGAGAATTTAAATATTAGGGGATTTACATCAAAATTATATTGTATCGTCATTTTTGCTTCCTTCGTCATAGATTAAAATTTAATTTGATAGCATATAACATCAAAATATAGAATAAATTTCAATTCTTTTGGTTATTAAACAATGGTGAATATGAAGAAAACGTACGCTTTTTTGTATCCAATCACGGTAAGAATCACTTTTGTCAAAGTTTTCATCAACTGATTCATTTTTAAATCGCATTATAATATTTTCTAAAGCTTGAATAATCCTTCTTTCCGTCTAGTATAGGTTAAGTAGTTACAATTTACTTACTTCAACTTTAAATACTAAACACAGGGCTGCTGTAGCTATTTCAACTCCGAACATAATAGTTAAACAAATAGAGTATGTTCCAAGTAGGCAGCGAGATTCATGATATGCTCCACAACATCCAAAAACAGCCACAACAATCGTTAACAAGCCTAGGCCGATAAGAGCATATAATAAGTTCTGCATTTTATCGGCATGTCCAGAACGAGATACTGCACTTTGAATTAATGAATCCACATAACAATATACGGCAAAACATAGTATTGCGGCACCAATTAACTATTAATAGTGAGAATATATTGGTAAATATGAAAATAATTAATCCATGTGCAATCGAGAAAACTTAAGCGATGACTGATTTTGACAGACTAAATAGATCGGTTTAATAATAAATAGGTCTGGTCCACTAAATGACTGAAATAACCGTAAGTTTTGAATAATTTATTAGCTTGTTAACCGTCAAAACACTTCAAAATAACACATGTGGGAATTAACAACAAGAACTGTAAAAGCTAAACTTAAGTACTTTGATTTCAAAACAGAACGGAGGGTCATAACACCGACCTCTAATTTCTATAATAAAATTTATCTTAACCAAAGACGGCACAAATATGTACTGGCTCAAGTTATCACCTTAAAGTGGGACAGAAAAAAAGAGGACAATAAAAACGATCATACCAATTTGATTAAAAAGTTGAATGAAAAAATTTGTGGTCGAAGAATGGGGTGAAAAAACATGTCCATCTAATACACTTTTATAAACAACTCAGTTCAACAGCCAATGACTTTATGGTTTTATTGTGAAATCCCTTCTTTTATTTACTTATCCTATCAAACTTACTGAGCAATGAGTTCGGTTACTTTTTTGCGAGAAACGTTTATTTGATTTTCCTTATTCAGATGTCTAATTGATTAAACATTAGCTACATGAAAGGGTAAGTGATTCAGTTAGTCAGTAAGGAGGACATTTTGTTATCTTGTTTGGTCTCTGTACTTTTATAACATAAATACAACAAATAACACAACATTGTTCAAATGTATACTTCTCTTTTCGTGTACAAGCGTATATCACCGAAGTCACATAAAATAGGTATATATTTTAAGTCAAACAAAATGACTAAGTGTGAAATTTCGAGTATTGTAGGAACTTGGGAATTAAAAACAAGGAGCAAAATTTTATGAGATGATTTTTAAGACCCTGTACACTCAGCTTAAAATTATAAATATAATATTAAAGATTCTTCGTCACTATGTTAAGAAACGTTTAACACAGTTAATCACAGGCACAGACATATTTTTAGATAAAATTTTGAGATTATTTATTTACTTAAGTACCTACGGGGATAAATTTCTGCCAAACTCATTGCAAATCGGTTTTCTCTTCTATATCGTCAATTTGTAGACTTTTGAGTCAAACAATGACTCGTCTCCCTGGGGAATCGAAACCAGATAAGATCGAAAAATCAGTCACAACACTCAACAGGAACTCTGTCTGTATATATATCTCATAAATGTCACCGACTAGGTTCTCTGCCTGTTTAAAAGGTATACTATTTGGGTGTAAGCTTGGATAAGTTAAAATGAGTAATCAACCTCAAATTTCAAGAATGCATTGGGAAGCAGTTTGCTATTTCAAAAGTATCTGAAAGAATAAGAGCAAAGACCTCCCGTAATATTTATTCGTAAATCATCTCATATATAAACCTTTTTATCAGGGTATAATACGACCTTCAAGACACTTTACACAAGAGTATAATGTTATAAAAAGAGAAAACAAGATGGCAGAAAATGAGTAACAATATAATGACTTTTTTCAGTCCATTGAAACTACTGATGAGGTTGAAATGTGCACCGATCTCAAGTCGTTAGTTAATTATACACTTCCTGCTATAATAATGTGGTCATTATGTGTAATTTATGGGCAATCAATGGAAATCAATTAATTGATTTTAACGGTTGGATTCATGAGTCAATCTAAACTAGACCGCCAGTGAAAATATGGAAGCACTGGACGGCTGTTTCGTCTTAGTATGTAGTCGTGGATGAGAACTGTTGAGGAACCCCATACTAGGACTGCATAGCTATTCAGTGCTCTCAGGTTCCTAAAGGTGGTCTAGCTTAGATTGGCTTATGAATTCAACTGTTGAAATTAAAATCTCCAGATATCCCTATTCTGATAATGATTAATTTTACCCAGAATCTTGAAAAAGCAAGTTATTAATTTCATATGAAACCTGAGACAATTTTTTCATTCTTGTTTTATTCCCTTGTCGGGAAACGTATTAGGAAGTGTAGATTTATGTAGTAGGCCTCAAACTAAGCTTATATGTGATGGGTAATGTCATCCAGTAACCCTGACTGAGGCAGAACTAGAGGTTCCGGCTTGACAAACTACGTGGTACAGTGACTGACACTAAAACCAAACACAAATCAGCTAAAATTACGGATACAATTAGAAATAGTTCTTAAATATGTCTAACAATTTGCCACGACACACTATAACCTCAGATGTTAATCAGAACTCGATACCCGTAAAACAAGTATTGGTACCAGAATGCTTGAGCTGGTTTATGTTAAAAACTAGAAATACTCTATGTTTTTAATAATTGCTAAATTCTAAAGCATACATTATTTCCGTCTAGATAAAACCACTGTTGAGTGAGTGGATATGATTCTCGCGTCCAGACAATCGAACAATTACATCCGGTCTTTGCACCAACCTCTCTGTTCGTCTACAATCCCCTATATACGTACAAATAAGGAAGGTTTATGTAAATTCACCATTTGTTTGACTGATCAATTACACTACACAGACGAAGATGACCGAGGTTAAAAACAGTAGAAACTTCCCCAAAGTATGTTATTTATTGAACGTACGTGTTCAGAATATGTGATGAAAGATATATCATAACTTGGAATATTTATTCATGCCCAAAGAATGAAAAATAAATCTTTAGTTATATTTCAATCAACTAGATGAACACAATAATACTAGGAAACTAATCTTACGGTTCCGGAGAAGAACGCACATCGAAAATATGTTCAGTACTTAGTCACATGAATATGGATTACGGAGACTTACGAGAAATATTACATTAAACGTCATTAATGAAACGACGAGAAACGTAGTACATCCTCTACCCATCTTCCCGCCGCTAAAGGTCGTGGAAGCGAAACGTTATAGGTTATCTGATTGTTCAGAAAAAGTAAATAACCCAACTGTGAATTTGGACGTTAGGTACTTATGACGTCTAAGTTTATTTTGTTTTATTTATTTATCTTCATATAGTCTGATCATATGTCATTCCCAGGCATTAGTAATCATAGTTTTAGTTGTTGATTTCTATGTCGTTTCCAAGAGCAATGTGTCAGCTTGAGTCAGAACTAACATTTTGAAAGCAAAATGGGAGAAATTTCATACCCTTTGCACTCAGGGGATTGGACATTAGAACCAGAATCCTTCTCTGAAAATGGTTGGGAATTCGCAAATATAAGTTACCACATTAAACGCACTTCGGAAAAAAAAACTACGTAAATGAAAAAATCCACATCATGGTTCAATAAAAAATGTTCGTGTTCTTTACTTTGAGAGAAAGAGAAAATGAAGAGGATTAAAGTTCTCAAGCTTAATTCTCACTAAGGTTTTGTATATGTGGTGAACATGGTAGTACCTAATTTGGTGAGTGTTTGTCTTTTAGCCAATAGGGTTCTAAACCCCTTAGCTCCAACCTCGAGGCAGTGCGCCGTCGTCTTAAGATCGTGAATCACTGTTACCTCAAGATCCTTGTGAGACTGGACCACGGGTACAAGAATTTATATGCTGTACCTATTTATCTTTGTATCTTCAAAGTACATGTAGACACAATTTGCCGCGTTGATAGACATCAGCCACTCTTTAGAAAACTTAATCACAATATTTAAGTCTGCCTGCGGTGTGCATATATATACGTCTCCTGTTATTTCTCGACAGATGTTTACGTCATCAGCGTATAGTAACATTGGCTACTCAGATATACTTGGAAGACCATTTACATACAGTAAAAAAAGTAAAGGACCTAGGACGGAACCTAGCAATACTCCATTAAGAACCAGTCTCCAGGAGGAGCACTTCAGATTTACTCTAACTTTCTAACCTAAGGAAATCTTAAAGGCATTTTAAGAGAGGTCCGGCAATGCCTGGATTTTCCAGCGTCAAGAACAGTCTATTTGTTGGCACCTTATCATATGCTTTGTTGAAGTCCGTCAGGGCAGGCACACATCATTTTTACAGTCATGATATACGAAATTTAACATTAGTTTACTCACAGTAGGGTCATTAAATAGGTCAAATCGACAAAAGTAAATATCAGTATATTCGTGCAGATGCTTTGGAGCGTTAATGATTAGCTTTGTGCTTTAGTATTACACTGAGTACAGTCTTTAAAATATTTTTCAAAGCGGCATCGCGTCCACGTTACACACTGGATCCATGCTCGGCATAAATGTTTTAGAATTCTGGTCATGCTAAGTATTAATGCGTTAAAACTATTCAAGTTCATAGTTGTTATTAAGTAGACTTGCAGAGTGCCTGGTGTGAACTATGACCTTGAGAAGGCTTGTACGTCAAGTTTGTTCCAGGCGTCAAAAGCTCCATGGCTGTGCTCTGAGAGTGTGATGCTGAAAAAAGAGAAGCAAAGGAGGAGTAAGGCACTTGGATATGAGCGCTAAACAATCCTTAACATTTTGTAGTGGAACAGACAGAGGTAGGATAAATTTGTAGATTAAGCTCATACTAGCCCTTTTTGTTAGAATGAAATGTGATTAGAGCCTCTAGATGAGAGGATTCAATGATGAATAACAAGGACTCATTATATTTATCAAGGTGGAGTAAATTCAAATGATGGAGGGAAAGTAGAAATTAGAATAAGGAAGGTTGGTTATTAGAACAGAAAGCGCTTCAACAGAGTAGTGTTAAGGAAATTAATAACTGTGTCTTTCATTTTCTGGACATCTTTAGTTCTTCATATTTTTATCCATTTTATCCCAGCCACACAGCCCTAGTGTGAAAGTTCAGGTTAGCATGCTATAGGTTATCTTGACAGAATCGCTAATCCAGTATAATATCGTATGCTTGAGTCCGAATGGTGAGCTTAGGAGAACAATCTCTATATCACAGACTGATTGGCTCGTTCTCAATCATGAAGATCGGTATACTGTGGTATACAAGAACTAATTCAATATCTTGTCGTCTACATTTCAGCCTGCAACGCACCCTTTCATATGTCCATGAATCGTGTGTCACTGTCTCAACAGCTCGTATGTTTAAGGCACTTTTCGTGTACAGGATAACCCCACCACCCCTACGGTTTAGTCTATCAAACCTACCGGATCGAAAACTGATCGACTGAATTTAATTATCAAACACTTCTGACGTTAACCATGTTTCCGAGATAGCAGTGACATCCGGTTTTTCGATAACTACCATTATCTTGAGCTCCACAATTTTATTTAGTAGGCTGTGAGCATTTGTGTAGCACATCTTTAATTCTGTGGAGTACTTTCCTTTACCACCCAGAATAATTCGGCGATCGTTTCGCTTCAAACTTTTACAAATTGAAAACCCTTAAGTGCTATGTTTTTTCACCATTTATTTCTACTTCTGCCGATCGGTTCGGAATAAAGTCAACTAGACTGAGGTGCTTACGGACGTATATTCCGGATCAAATAAGTTTGTGTGAGTTTCCCAGTATTAGGTTTCTTTTTTCAGCCGAAGTAACGTTAACCTGCAAAAGGCGGCTTTTCTGAGCACTTTAAGAATCCACCTATTGTCATGTTCTATGAAGCTTACATATTCTGACTCCCGAAACTGTTTCTGGGAGTAGCTTGCTTATTAAAGACTTAATGTGGTTGAGGTCGTGCTCAAAACTAGCTTTTAGTTCCTCTTCGAAAGATTATTTTAATTATAAAAAATCACTGACCTGTCAGCTGGGTCTGTCTTAACACGCTGTGTAATTCTAATTCCGGAAATCTCCCTGCAAACCGACTCTTATTTGGAGTCAGACACAGAGGTTTCAGTCTGTTTTCTTACTTTTCCCTTTCTGGGTGTGACTGTAAGCCAATCATTTACCTTATTTTATCTCTTGGTCACATCCTCTACGCAGCTCAGATCTCCCCCCATAGTCTGGTTTGCGCTGATATGTGAGTCCGAGATCAAATCTGTAGATTCATATAGATTCCATCATCGACCGGGAAATAGCATGCATGTCTGACACAAAGATATTTCACTTGGGCCATAAAATTGTTTTGTGATCTCACAGGAAGAACAACAGCGAAAAGTGATCTCTAGAACAAGTATCTTTCAAGCCTTGATAGTTGGTAGACATTGAACACGAATGAAATAGAGGTCTGTACTTCACAATAAAGAAATCTGACTTCAGTAGTTACAAAAATAGCCTGACGCCTTTGAACACAAACGATGCTAAATGACATATTCAACGAGGAAAGCAAATACCAGTGCCTTTTTGTATCTGTACTCAAAAATACAGATGATAAACTTCTCCAGAAAAAAGCGATACTCTTGGAGACTACTTTGACTGAAATAAATTCAACTAAAGCAAAAACAGTAGTCTTGATGCGTAATTAAAATATCAATACTATAAAACATAGAGGAAAAACGCCGTTGTTCTTTTAAATAGAGCACTTGAGAACTACGCCCATGCTGCATGCTCCTGCTTCAGATTTGACTGAGATATTCTGGGAACGGTACAGAGCGCAGCTACCTGTGAACTAGAAAATGAACAACATAGGCCGTAGGCCTATTTTCTTTACTTTGCGAATCTGAGTCTGAACAAATCTGGAAAGTTACTGGAGACTGACAAGACCAAATCTCGAAATGGGTAAGCCAGGAATACAAATGTTCAAGCCCTATGTTAATCCTAAAAGAAGTATGAAAGAAACTGCGAATTATTCTGTGTAATCCATAACTAAACAAGGAAATAAGGGGAATAAGCTTCTACAATTAATGATGCGAAACGCGTAACATTACAAGTGGAAGACAAATTCTATACTTTCTCATTGCTTAGCTGTTATATTCAGGAAAGGAATCTTCATCGTTAGCAAAGATAAATTCTGCCTCATGTACTCTTATGATTGTGACCGCTAAAAACACAATATCTTTTCTAGTGTCTCGCTGATCTGATTCCAGTTCGGAAAAACAGACGAATACGCCATAAATAATAATCTTTCGTCTAATTCCGTCACCATAATTAGGCGAACCTCGTTTCAGCTACTGGAGTAGTAAGAACCCGAACACGATAAAGACAAAGCATATTAGATTCAGAAAATCATTTGACATTTAGTTCCAGTTGCCTCTGTCAAATATTTGTAAATATCATTAAGCTAACTATAGTAAATTCTTATGGAAAGTTTATAACTCGTCATATTCTTAAATGAAGTTCCATAGGTAGTCTTAACTTTAAACTCGTCATACTGGCCAAGGTAATTGTTTTTAATTGTTAAATACTTCATCAACCTGCATGTTAACCTAGCCTGCATATGCGTTGTATTATATGTTCTCCATGTCATTCGAATTTAATAATTATTTGAACCGCCATCGAAGTTTTCCACTAAACCCATCATAGTCGTTATTGTTATACGTCTTTGTGTCTAAAACGACGTTTAACATAGGTACGGTAATGAAGTAACCTTGCTAAGTAAACTTACTACACCAGCATAATAACTAAACCAACACGTAATTGTTAGCCGCGTTCAGAACAAAACATCTGAGCGTATTATTAAAATTGATACTATGTAGGTGATCGCAATTAGTGATATGATCAGGCACCACGAATTCGTCAACGCTACAAATTTCTAGTAATTTTGAATCACCTAAAGCAACAGTACCTATTCCCCACTGGATAATCCTCAATCAACAGTATGATTAGCTACTCATGATGGTTTCAGGCGATCGTCGTACAGCATAGTCATGGCCCACTTTACTTTGACGAGGATTGCGCTGTCCACCAGCTTGCGTCAAAATCGCAACTCGCGATTGATACCTAATGTGGATTGCCCTCTCACTGAATCGGCATATCGTGTTTGATTTGCTGACTTTATAGCTAAATGTGAATGTTATGACAGGAATTTATTGGAAAGAATAATTACAAG